GTAGATCATCGGCACATTGCCTAGTATGCTCTTGTGTTACGTACTGGGCGAGAAATGGAGGCGCTGACACACCAAAGACCACTCGGTTGAATTTGTATACCGTCGGTGGTTGCATTGATCTTGGTTCTCAGCATAGGAATCGGTGATATCCTCGATCAGTCTCGGGAATGGCAATCTGTACATACATTGCCATCCAGACTTTTGATCGATACACTCACTGGCTTGGATGGTAAGGAGGATTGCTGACCATTGAGCATATTGATTGTCAACATTTCTGAAGGACCATTAAAACCGAGTTCCGACGCCACACTGCTGCTGAGGAATGTACCAGTACTGCCTTCATCAAGCAAGGCATTCACTTGCATTTCTTTATTTCCATTCGTCAGTATTGCTGGCACAGTTTGCAACCCGATCATTGTACGGATTGCATGGGCTGACGTCAAAGTGCCTTGCTCCCCTTTCCATGGAGTATCCCACCTCAGGCTTCACATGGATGGTGTGATGTGACAGTGAGGCCAACCGTTGGATTGTTCCGGTGTCTGAGCGTTGGCTTGGGTTTCCGAGTTGTGTACTTCGGCACACGATGTGCTGGTTGGGAGGCAGTAGTGCTGGTTGAAGCAGCATGATGGAGCATTTGGTGGTGTCCTTCCTTGCAACCATCCTCTGCTACCAGTTTTGTTCGGAAGGCGCGAGCCCGACCCATTCGCAAATACTAGTTCCCCCGTTCTCACACACAGTCTGCACCAGGGAGTCGTACTCAAACTAGGGAGGTGACACGGCACAGAAATCCGTGTCACAGGGGTTGACTCGCACCCGTGACCCCTCGTTGTTATTTTTGGAATAGTTCAGTCCAGTCCAGTCCGAAAGGTCATACTCGGATCGACTCGCCTTCTGTACTTCACCTCCAAGCGTGCAGCATGGGTGTCTAGTTTTTGAAATTATTGAGGCAGCACATTTCGTTTACAGCCAATCACTCGCCAGTATTCTTTGAAAGACTACCAGCAATTCGTTTACCTCCTGCCATGTCCGAACTACTTGATAGCAGTGATGGCAACAGCAGCAGTTATGAGACAGCGTGTAGTGTTACGGTAACTGTTCAGAACTGTTCAGAGTCGTATCCTAGGTTAATCCGAATACTAAAAATTGGCCCGAATTACACATAACACGAAGCTGGTTTTTGAAAATTGTAAGTCGTGTATCTGCCCCATTTCTTCTTTATGACTTGCACAATACACCAGTCTTCCTAAACAACACATTTCTAGCAGGGGTTAAGTACCATAAGAGAAGTACAGCCAGTGATATTGTCATGTTAAAATACTACAATTTTGACACAAATTACACATAACACGAAGCCAGGTTTTGAAAAATGTAAGTCGTATATCTGCCCCATTTCTTCTTTATGACTTGCACAATGGTCCAGTCTGCCTAAATAACACATTTATAGCAGGGGTTATGTACCATATTAGAGAAGTACAGCCAATGATATTGTCATGTCTAAATATTACAATTTTGACACAAATTAGACATAACACGAAGCTGGTTTTTGAAAATTGTAAGTCGTGTATCTGCCCCATTTCTTCTTTATGACTTGCACAATACACCAGTCTTCCTAAACAACACATTTCTAGCAGGGGTTAAGTACCATACAAGAGAGCTACATTGTACATCTAGTCATACTGTCATAAACAGCCAGCATTTTTCCTGCAGCAGTCACACCACCATCATCATTATTTCCAGGGAAATCCTCTTACATTGTCAGCTCCTACGTCGTTAGATACAATGTAGGGGGCTGTAGGACCGGCTCGTCAAAAATAGAGAACCTGAACAAGCGTGCTCGGGACGTCTCAGCAATCGTAGTATGCTTGAGCACTCCTATAAAAACTTGATCAATGGCAAAATCGTTCCCCACAGAAAAATCATACTTTGCGGGTCTTGCGTTGCACGCTTGGAGGTGAAGTACAGAAGGCGAGTCGATCCGAGTATGACCTTTCGGACTGGACTGGACTGAACTATTCCAAAAATAACAACGAGGGGTCACGGGTGCGAGTCAACCCCTGTGACACGGATTTCTGTGCCGTGTCACCTCCCTAGTTTGAGTACGACTCCCTGGTCTGCACACAGAGACTGAGCTGTTTGAACTCCAAAAGAAACTAGCGATGAATGTAAAGCAAAACCTAACTATTCTCTAGCAAGGCCTCTACTCAATCAACAACGACTTGAGGTACAAACTAGAGAGTTTTTACAGAATCTAACAAGGGCTCTGGCAAGGGAGCCAGCGAGGAAGCTTCAGCTGGTGTCACAGTGACGTGTCCAGGATTTGGCTGAGGTGGGGGGGGGGGGGGGGGTTGCGGCCGGGATGGGGTGGGGGTAGATGACATCATGCTACTGTCCCAGGTCAGCCATTTTGAAAACCACCGTGTTTCTGTAGCCATGCATGCTCACTGGTACTCTCTGGTGTGTACAATCAACACCAGCTCGAGCACCGTACCGTGCAACCGCTTTTGGACAATCGTTTCAGGCCGCGCTCCCAGCCCTGCCTTTTATTTTTCGAAACCTAGGTCGAACCTTTTGAGGGGGGGGGGGGCGCCCCCCCCCCCCCCCCCCCCGCACCCCCCTAAACCCGCCACTGGTGTCTATTGCAGGAAACAAGCTGCAAAACAGCTAAAGAGAGGATGTGATAGAGCAAGCAAGCTGGAAATGCCATTAATTAATCACAGCACACCTCAGCGTTACAAAAGAAGCATTGGAGCATGAGACTGATATCACTGTGAAGATAAGCCTGGGGGGGGGGGGGGGGGGGGCACACAACTGCACACACAACTGCACACAACTGCACAAACACCTATTGCAAATGAACCGTAGCGGCACCAGTATTGTATTCTGGAAACAATGAAGACTACTGATAGGTAGTGTTGGTCTAGCTACTCTCCAGTGCTGGTGTAGTGGCGCCATGCAAGGATCATGAAAGAATAATTGTAAATGTAGGAATTACTGTATGCTTCTAAACGGGCAGTGTACCGGCATGGCAAACTACATTCTCCTTTCTTCTCAGCATAACCTGTAGCCATTCACTACTCACCCTGTTTAGTTTGTTTAAAAAAGCACGTTAAGAATGTACTCCTTAGAGTGTACTCCTTAGAGTGTACTCCTTAGAGTGTACTCCTTAGGGTGGGTATACTTAGTACACCTAATGGTCCTTGCCGATAGGGGAGCCCGAAGTACGGCCGTGGTAGTCCACAAGTGCAGCCGGTCACACACTACTGTGTACAGTTAAACCTGTCTGAGACGACCGCTCAAGAGACATTCAAAATGTTGTCTCCGTAACAAGGCGGTCTCCTTATCCAGGGTCATTTGACTGGAAATAGCATCCTTTGGTTCTGGTTTCAGTGGTCTTCTAGGACAGGTGGTTGCCTCGACAGGTTTTACTGCGCTGGCAGGTGTTGTACCTCGCACTGAGCAGACAGCCCTCGCAGCTCCCCTCATGTTCACCTCAACACCTTCTTGGAACAGACAAGGCAAAGGCAAGGCAAAGCAGCCTGGGGGCACATTTGCACGCAACTCTGGCTATGTGGCTGATTTGCTGATTATCGTGTGTGTGTGTGTGTGTGTGTGTGTGTGTGTGTGTGTGTATGTGTGTGTATGTGTGTGTGTGTGTGTGTGTGTGTGTGTGTGTTCGTGTGTGTGTGTGCGTGTGTGTGCGTGCGCATGTGCATATGCATGTGTGTGTGTGTGTGTGTGTGTGTGTGTGTGTGTGTATGCCCGTGTGTGTGTGTCCTCGCGTTGTGTGTGTATGTGTGTCTGTGTGTGTAATGTGTATGTGTCTACATGTATGTATGTGTGTTGACCTGGTTTTCAGATGATCAGCGTCAAGCCATACAGCGAGAACACAACATTGCGTCTGTGATCATGCTATCAATGAAGGACTCACCCGACCATATTGGTGTGCACTTCACGGGCCTGTCCGCTCTAAGCAACCTTGGACGCAATGGTACGTTCGGAGTGAGCGAGTGTCATTCGCATGTTTCTCAATCATGGTTGGTGGATCTGATCTACCCTCACCACACGGTTTAGGAGCTGCATCTGACACCTGATCATGGGGTGACGGGGTTCCACGAAAGCGGAAAGGTGGTTCTTGACCCGCCCTGTACGCAAGCCCGTGCGTTGTCTTTTAGCATATGTGTCGTGAATATGCATCACGAATCCGCGTTACGCTCATTATTATGTCTTTATTTGTTTATGTGTTACATCATGTTGACGTCATGCTAATGTCTTGCTGCACGCATCGCGTGCACCGTTTTGCGGCTCTCAGCCCGGAGCATGCGCAGCGAGCCTGTGGCTCCTTTTTTGCTGCCTTTTTCCCTTTTGCATGCTTCACTTGTCTCAACCTTGTCTCAAATAAGGTTCTCTGGTGACACTCCTTTTCAAGTCACCTAGTCCTTTCAAGTAACAAGTGCAATGTCGTTCCGTGAACCGGAACCCCTCCATATTTGAGTTTACCAAGACGTATTTGTGCGTGGCTATACAAGCTCTCCCACTCAACAGTTCAAAGTTGCGCACAATATGCATGTTCATGATGCCATGCCCTTGGCTCTAATTCAGATATTGTGCAAAAGTGATCTACCATTGCCAGACATCATGGATGGTTAATTGGGTACATAGTTATATGTTTGACGTCATGGATGGGCACATGTGGTTGAAATCATGGATGGGGCACATGTGGTTGAAATCATGGATGGGGCACATGTGTTGTTGAAATCAGGAAGGAGGTACATGTATACGTGTGTGTGTTTGATTCACATTATCTCGGTGGTGTTCACCCCCTTCCCCTCTCTACTGTGAGTCGACAGATTTTCGGCCCATTCAAATTTCGGCCTCCCAGGGCTAAACCACACTTCGGCTGCAACACATTTTTGGCCTGTACTGCTGCTGCCTGTATACACTGTCACACTGAACCTTGCAAAAAAAATTTCGCCTGCGACAAATGGCCGAAAATAAATATGCGCCGAACATTTGTTGACTTACAGTGTGTGTCCATGTGTGTGTGTGTGTGTGTGTGTGTGTGTGTGTGTGTGTGTGTGTGTGTGTGTGTGTGTGTGTGTGTGTGTGTGTGTGTGTGTGCGTGTGCGTGTGTGTGTGTGTCTGCAGAGTCGCTGGTCGATGACTTAGCCCTGGCCGGGATAGTGGAGGTGTGTGCCGGCGTGTTGGAAAGACACACGTCGCACGAAGGTGTTCAGATGGTTGCTGGCAGGTGTCTGGTAGTGTGCGCATCCAGTGGTAAGTTAGGTGCTGTGTGAAACTACACGGTATGTGGGCCATTGGTACACAATGTTGCCAGTCCATACTGAACGCCCTGCGGCGCCCGGCATTTACAACACCCTTAGAGAGGTTATGCAACAGCCCTATCACCCCCCCCCCCCTCTCCTAACTTTACTTGATTTCCAAAAAATCCTCTTTTCCTAACATGCCCGCTGTTGGACTTGAAGTTTCAACTCTGAACTGTTTTCCATTCAGGGCTTGCCTAACCAGAGTTATTCTGTATTTCTTTGTTATGCTTCATTGTCCCAGCACATGCCAAGCGAGACTACAACAGATACAAGGTGCGAGCTCTTTGCGAAGCTGTCCGCGAGCGTCTGCCGGATTCCAATGCGTCAGCTGAGGCAGCAGAAGCCATGCGGCTTTACAAAGGTGGAAGCTGCTGTGCGATTTTATGAGGATGAGCAACAGCAGCAATAGACCAAACTGTTTTGTCCCAGTTTTAGGAATGATACTCAGAGTTTAGTTTGATGTGCAGGTGTTTGTGCCCGCTACTTTGCCCAGCACATGTTTCATCTAGTCACAGATACCAGAGGATGCGTGTGCTCTTGCACGTGCGTGTGTGTGGTGTGTGTGTGTGTGTTTGTGTGTGTGTGAGAGAGAGAGAGAGAGAGAATGAGTGTATACGCGTCCTTGAGAGTAGCTCTGATTTCCGCCACACTCGGTTGTTGGTCAAGCACACTGTCACAATGACATCACCACAGTTGGCATGTGTACGCAGTGTGCCGCCGAATTTCTCAAAGCCCGTTATTATGCAACACGCAAGCAAACTATGAACTTGTTATGTCCTCTTGCGAATCAGAACATCAGCGCTGTTGCTGAGCCAATGGGGTATGTAGTTGCAAAACATTTGATCAACACTATATTTAGCCCAAACGCATAGGCAGTGCCTAGGAAATACTGATATCATTATCTATGTCACTATGAACTGGCGTATTATCATTCAGTGTATCCATGCCGTGTTGTCCCGGGTACTATCGGTACGAATTTCCTATATCATTATCCGCCTCATACTACAGTGCTGGCAACTGAAATCCGACCCCCTTGCCGGCGCGGCGCGCCGGCAAGGGGGTCGGATTTCAGTTGCCAGCACTGTAGTTTCAGTTTTCCCCTTAAAATTTGTATATAAACTGTCACAGCAAATTATTCTCTTCTCTGGGTCTTTTGTCATAGTTGATAATGCTTTTCAGACGAATGGTGGCCAGTTGCTCTCGGTGCTGAGCTGTGCTAAGTCTTTGTACACTTCAGGATACCGTGGTTGTGAGAACTGGTGACATTATACCGCAAAGAGTTGCATCATATGGGTGGAGATTTTAGGGTGCAGGCGAACACGACCACGGAAAAGTGAAAAAAATCAAATAATAATTATTGCAATCATTATCATGCAGTTTGCCATTCCATCCAGACTTCGCCGACCAATGATACTACTTCAGTAGTATTGTATTCATAGCAGCTGCCCGGAAATAGTGCAAACTGTAGACCGAGATGTTTTCTACTGCCATAGGAAGATTCAGTGGCGGCCTAGGCCAGCCAGCGAGTCGCGGACTATCCTCAAAGACAATCACTATCCTCAAAGACAATCAGGACACGGTTGCTATGCAGCTCTCCCAATTTGGCCATCCAGATGCAACTTGCAGTAAGTCATCGCTATAATAGGAACGATTTCGGATTAAATGAACAAACACTAGTGACAACATGTCAGCCGGATAAGAGAAACACGGGCACAAATCAACACCAGACCCCAACAACAATGAACATGAGCAGCCACAGCGCACTACAATAGGCAAATGTCTTCCTCGGCCACAGGAATACCAGACCCAGCTAATCTAAAGAGGAAACGGTGTGTGCAAGGTGAAGTGCCATTCCTACATCAGACCTACCTATTCAATTAAAAACTGTGGTGCTAAAAGAGAAAAATCTCAAAAAAACTAAGTGGGTAGTAGTGTCTGCATACTGGGGCATTGTGTAAAACAGATTTTGTTGTTGATCGAATCAGTGGTTGAGAATATAGGAACCAGGAATAATGCAGTTTGCACCAAAATGGACAATTTTAATATCGGGAAGTTGTTGGTCAAATTGAGGCAAAGCTCATGAAACGGGCATGTATACACACAGTGGGAAGCAAGCAGCAACGGCGTGACATTGACTTTCAAAATACTTTGAAGTAATGAAGAGATCAGTCTGTATGTATAACGGTTGAATGGCTAGAAATGTTCGTCTCGCTCCCTGCATGGCTGGCTGAGCGCGGGTGTGCAGCACTTCTTTCTAGTGACGGCTGCGGTTGCTGAACAGACGCCGCGACACGCTTCCAGCTATCTTGGAAATGGCAGCGTGGTGGAAAAGATGGCGAGGAGCATGGCTGTTTTCTGTACTGCCTGAGTCGCTGCGCAGGTCTGGAATAAACGCTCATAGTGTTGTCCAGTCTACTCGCCAGTTAGGATCTCAACGGTCGCGATTCTTTGTCGTCTCCTTTGTGTGCACAATGAGCGGTGTGAGTGTTGCCAGTGGTGCGGAGCGTTTCAGGAAGGGATGCTGGATACACATCATCGTACAACACACACACACGCACACACGCACAAGCTCACTATCGTTGCCACTGAAAGAAAACCGGGAAAAGGTGGTCTGCACTGGGAGTCCAGGCCACACACACACACACACACACACACACACACACACACACACACACACACACACACACACACACACACACACACACACACACACACACACACACACACACACACACACACACACACACACACACACACACACACACACACACACACACACACACACACACACACACACACACACACACACACACACACACACACACACACACACACACACACACACACACACACACACACACACACACACACACACACACACACACACACACACACACACACACACACACACACACACACACACACACACACACACACACACACACACACACACACACACACACACACACACACACACACACACACACACACACACACACACACACACACACACACACACACACACACACACACACACACACACACACACACACACACACACACACACACACACACACACACACACACACACACACACACACACACACACACACACACACACACACACACACACACACACACACACACACACACACACACACACACACACACACACACACACACACACACACACACACACACACACACACACACACACACACACACACACACACACACACACACACACACACACACACACACACACACACACACACACACACACACACACACACACACACACACACACACACACACACACACACACACACACACACACACACACACACACACACACACACACACACACACACACACACACACACACACACACACACACACACACACACACACACACACACACACACACACACACACACACACACACACACACACACACACACACACACACACACACACCAGCTGTAGGCCAGAGACCTACTTGTAGAGTGATAACAAAAGGAAAATGGGCTCAGGACAAACCACAGGAACTCAGCTACACTCTATGTAGAGCACCGCCTCTGGCGCACTTTGTGTTTGCAAAGTCACGGCAGAGTTTTGCACTAGCGACTCAAGCTGTATGCATAGCCGCTATGCCAATAAGCGATCCCACGGACTAACACTGCATACATAGCATCCATAAGCGCTTCCACTGACTCACCACCACGACATACGCATAATCTCTATAAGGGTCATTGGGACGAATTTGCAATACTGGGGTCAGCCAGAGCTGGGGAATCCTCCAACTCAACCTATTTCGGAAATTTGCCTCGCAAGTGCAAATATGGATATGGAGAAAAACACCTAAAAAGAATATTTTGAGGACCTTCATGTCGGAAAGGATTGATGCAGCTATCGTTACACCTGCCGCACTAGTTCTGATGCCCCGTGTCCATATGCATATGTGTGCGGACTTGTCACAACTGACGGTGCACAGGCATATACAGTGACACCTGTCTAAAGCGATCGCTCAAGGGACCTTCTAAATCTGGCCTCCGTGTACAGGTGACCGCCTTATCAAAGGTCATTCGACTGGAAATAACATCCCTTGGTCCTGGTTGTGGTGGTCCTCTGAGGTAGGTGGTTGCCTTATCAGAGTGGTCGCCTTGACAGGTTTTTACTGTAGTACATACCTGAAGAAGCTCTTCAGCACCCGGCCGGACGTTGGCATCCATTGTCAGGCACTTGTCCAGAAAGTCCTTGAAAGTAGGCGAGAGACGTTCCGGATGTTGGATTGTTGGCGTGCCATTGGTGGCAATAAGATACAGCGCCTACCAGCGTTAGCAAGACGAAGAAGAAAGCAGCCAGAAATTTATCATGTTGTGCGATCTCCATTGGTAAAAAATGTCAAACTGATAAAAGGACGGCCAAATCCAATTCCAAAACACTACTAACCCTAGCCACAGTCGATTTTATGTGATAAATAATCACAACTTGCGTGCATGAATGTCTCTCATCTTTCAGGCAGCCCGGGTCATACAGACAACATCAGCAGCCAGCATCACCGGGCATACTAGTATGCACTCCCAGTCCCAGACCATGTTCAAAATCTTCAAATATTACTTATGTAGCCAAATCAACTCTACTACCCCTAAGGATAGCACAGGGAACCAGCACAGGGAACCTGCTTCCATAATCCTATAGCACCATACTGTCCTGCGAGGCATTGCCGATCAGACTAAGCCTCAGCATACCACTAGAACAACCACTGATACGGACACAGCAAAGGCTTGAGAGCATACATTTCTAGCATGACTCCGGGCCTAGCCAGTATTAGCTGCCGTTCTACACTTACCCTGAGTGGATTCTCATTGAGATACGGCGGCTCTCCTTCGATCATCTCTATGGCCATGATGCCTAAGCTCCATACATCAACCTGCATGAACCACAGCAGTGTTACAACGGGAGCATGTAAGGATATGTTAGATACAGGAGCGTCCGTGGGTGTTGAACCTGCCACCAGATCTAATCTGTTACTCTAAACTGCTTGACTGCTGTATATGCCGGAGTAGGGCAGACCTGCAAGTTCACTGCCACCATCAAACTGGGACCAGGAAGGAGAGCAGCGGGCAACAGCACTGGAAACAGTCACCAATACAATGCTCTACACCCTGCAATACAATGCTCTACACCCTGCAATACAATGCTCTACACCCTGCAATACAATGCTCTACACCCTGCAATACAATGCTCTACACCCTGCAATACACTGCTCTACACCCTGCAATACAATGCTCTACACCCTGCAATACAATGCTCTACACCCTGCAATACACTGCTCTACACCCTGCAATACACTGCTCTACACCCTGCAATACAATGCTCTACACCCTGCAATACACTGCTCTACACCCTGCAATACAATGCTCTACACCCTGCAATACACTGCTCTACACCCTGCAATACAATGCTCTACACCCTGCAATACAATGCTCTACACCCTGCAATACAATGCTCTACACGACCCTGCAATACAATGCTCTACACCCTGCAATACAATGCTCTACACGACCCTGCAATACAATGCTCTACACGACCCTGCAATACAATGCTCTACACGACCCTGCAATACAATGCTCTACACCCTGCAATACAATGCTCTACACGACCCTGCAATACAATGCTCTACACCCTGCAATACAATGCTCTACACCCTGCAATACAATGCTCTACACCCTGCAATACAATGCTCTACACCCTGCAATACAATACTCTACACCCTGCAATACAATGCTCTACACCCTGCAATACAATGCTCTACACGACCCTGCAATACAATGCTCTACACCCTGCAATACAATGCTCTACACCCTGCAATACACTGCTCTACACCCTGCAATACAATGCTCTACACCCTGCAATACACTGCTCTACACCCTGCAATACAATGCTCTAAACCCTGCAATACACTGCTCTACACCCTGCAATACAATGCTCTACACCCTGCAATACAATGCTCTACACCCTGCAATACAATGCTCTACACCCTGCAATACAATGCTCTACACCCTGCAATACAATGCTCTACACGACCCTGCAATACAATGCTCTACACCCTGCAATACAATGCTCTACACGACCCTGCAATACAATGCTCTACACGACCCTGCAATACAATGCTCTACACCCTGCAATACAATGCTCTACACGACCCTGCAATACAATGCTCTACACCCTGCAATACAATGCTCTACACCCTGCAATACAATGCTCTACACGACCCTGCAATACAATGCTCTACACCCTGCAATACAATGCTCTACACGACCCTGCAATACAATGCTCTACACGACCCTGCAATACAATGCTCTACACGACCCTGCAATACAATGCTCTACACCCTGCAATACAATGCTCTACACGACCCTGCAATACAATGCTCTACACGACCCTGCAATACAATGCTCTACACCCTGCAATACAATGCTCTACACGACCCTGCAATACAATGCTCTACACGACCCTGCAATACAATGCTCTACACCCTGCAATACAATGCTCTACACGACCCTGCAGTCAGGCCACACAATATACAGTAAAACCTGTCAAGGCGACCACTCTGGTAAGGTGACCACCTGCCCCAAAAGACCACATGCAACCAGGATGCTATTTGCCGTCAAATGACCCTGGAAAAGGAGACCACCTGGCAACAGAGACCACGGTTTGAAGGTCCCTTGAGCGGTCGTCTTAGACAGGGCACACAACATAGTCCATTACTGAGAGGGAACCTGCAACCCCAGTACAGTGACCAGAGTGATCACACAGTACTGATTGCACATACCTTGGGACCATACTCTTTTCTTGTGACAACTTCCGGAGCCATCCAGTATGGTGTTCCAACCATGGTTATTCTCTTGTTCTGCTCGGGAGTGATCTGTGCGCAGAATCCAAAGTCAGCTGTAGGGACACATTGTAAACACATGGACGAGCCAAGCCCGTCAGCAATAGAGCATTAGTACTGGTGAGTGGCTGGAAGTGCTCCCAGGCTGGCACCTGGAAACCGTCGGCGGGTGCAGCATCAGCACTAAGACATGCTGCAAACAAACTATTGGCCGTTGTCATGGACAAAAAACTTGATGATACAATTATTTCCATGTCAACACCCATTGCGCGAAATCGCGCATCTATGAGCGACATCCACATAAACTGCTGGGACCATGGTTGTGTACTCGAATCTCATTCTGAGCACCATTTTTTCTTCCTTTTTTCAGCCGTTTTTTTGCAAAAAGTCCTCGAGCTCGATTTTTTTGATCGATCGTTCTTCAAGGAAAGACGAGTGGACAATCGATCAACAGGGCCGAGGACGAATGCGTCTGGTTGGAGTTCTTGCGTGGCACAGGATGACCAGACACACATATAGATACATTGCGACGATCTAATCTGCACAGTGTTTCCTAATACCGCACGCACGACGGTAAGTACAATTCATGTGATTTCAAATTGTTTGTGATCTACAACGTCGCGAGCAGGACGGAAATACAGCAACAGCACGACAACCGTTATACCAGGCAGTAACCAACAGTCACCTCCGTCACATTCTCCAGATCAGAAGGCAAGTGAGGCAGTGAACATGAAGAAATAAAGTATGAAAGAATGAAAAGTGAATAATTCAAAAATCTCAGAAACGTTGAACGTAAAAAACACTGAGAACAAGAAAAGTGACTTACTTCGATGGCAAAAGACAAAGCGAATGTTCCTCGTATGGACCTGGCTCTTGCGGAATCAGCCACACTGTGGAACCATGTGTTTGATTCCACAAGGGATGGCTACCTGCTCCTCACCAACCAGCCTCCACGACGGTGGTAAAGTCGCCAAAAATACGAAAGTTGAACATTTTGTGCATGCATGCAATAGAAAATCTGTGCTGAGTATGTCGAGTGGCCATTCGCACAGGACAAAGCCGTTGCGCAAGCTGTGACCCTGAAATTTCGTCCATTGGTAGCGAGGGTAACCCTGAGCTGGAAAGTGTAAGGGATGGCATGCTACACTCCCCCGCATACGCTTGACAGCACAATTTGAGGCGTGGAGTAGTAATATACCAGTATCTTACTACCCCCTGATACCTGATGCATGGGCGTCGTCATCTTCATCCCGCAGATCGAAAATGTACAGGTGTCGCGTGATTTCGCGCAATGAATAGGAGTACAATGCACGTACAAAGGTTGCGCTTGTTTAGGTCACAGTGGAGAATGCAGACGCACACATATTCACATGCACACACACACACACACACACACGCGCGCGCGAGCGCGCACACACACACGCACACACACGGCGACCAAGAAAGGCACCATGGTGGTTTACAAGAAACTTACTCAGCTTTACTCCACCATCCATTCCCAGCAGGATGTTATCACTCTTGATGTCACGATGTATGACAAAGCTCTGGTGCAGGAATGCCAGTGCTTGTAGGCACTGCAGCGAGGATAGAGAGAAAGAAAGAGAGAAAGAGAGAGAGAGAGAGAGAGAGAGAGAGAGAGAGAGAGAGAGAGAGAGAGAGAGAGAGAGAGAGAGAGAGAGAGAGAGATAGAGAGATAGAGAGATAGATAGAGAGAGATAGAGAGAGATAGAGAGAGATAGAGATAGAGAGAGAGAGAGAGAGAGAGAGAGAGAGAGAGAGAGAGAGAGAGAGAGAGAGAGGAGAGAGACACACACACACACATACACACACACACACACATACACACACACACACACACACACACACAGAAAGGATCAACGCATTGTATGTATCGTGTACTACAGTTGCGCTCGGTGAAACCCAACCCAAAGTGCATATTTGGTGCCCTCAACACGGCCCTTGACCGAGTTGACGCCCTGGAAGTAGTGCGGATGCGGCAGGACGTACACATGTACCAGCATAGTGGTGTAATCGGAACTGGTCCAGGACGTCAGTTTGGCACTTCGGGTCGGATTTCAGTGAGCGCAACTGGATAATAATGCACATCAAGAAACAGTTCACCATCTGAATCGGCACTAATCCAAACCAGTGGTCTGCTGTCATGTGTCTGGACAGGAAAAAATGTTACCACATATAAACATCTGGAAGCAACATTGGGATCGTACAATGAGGTCTGACATGGGCACAATCAAAGACACTACAAATGTTTGTTACAGTGTGGATTTTTCATAAAATAAAATAAATAAATAAATTCGACGGGTTTGCGTAACGGGCAGGTCAAGAACAAGGAGTCGTACAACTCCCTGGCCAAGAACCACCTTTCCGCTTCCGTGGGACGCCACCACCCCAATGATCAGGCGTCAGATGCGGCTCCTAAACGGTGGGGGAGGATAGATCAGATCCACCAACCATAGACCAAGGGCCTAAATCCCATTTGCCTAATCCATGTTTTACTCATGCCAGGCCACGAGTTCCCAATTAACTGTGGGTTGCAGCACGTTAGACCGGATTTTTCATGGGATAACTGCATTACTCTGAAGCCTACTGCTACCATAACTGAAATGCCACATGCTTTTAGTTGATCAAACCTCTTGCAGGAAAACATCCACCTACCTCCCGGCACACAGCTGCGATCTGGCCTTCATCCATAACTGTCTCCTGCACAACGTCCGTGAGTGATCCACCAGCCAAATACTGCATCACAACCTGTAAAGCATGACATAGTGTGACACAACCATACACAGCAACCCGATAAGACTATTGTCACAAACGACGGTGTTACTGCTTCAAGAGAGTCCCAAGACAACTTTCTGGTTAGCCAGGGGCGTCGGAAGGTAATTTAGTGTGGTACGGTCAGCCATCAGAATTAAAATTTGCTCGTGGGGTAGGGGCGGAGATTTAGAGCCCAAATCAGTGCATTTTTTCGGTTCACAGGGTCTTGGGGCAAATAGTGGTGCGGTCAATACCGTAGTGACCGTACCGTGTCCGGCGCCCCTGTTAGCCCATATCAAACGTGTTGGAATGTGTGTGTGTGTGTGTTATAATGGCGGCACAGCTCATATTTCTAATAGCTATAATCAAATCACTATCTCCAAGGCGTTTATTCACTGCTTCTCTTGGATTAAAACAAGATTTGGGGCTTCTATTCACTGATTCGGAACACTCTGAAAACTAAAGTCATGTACACTTTCACCATGGCCACATCATGCCGGTTTGAAGTTAGAATCATTGTCACAGGAAACAATTACTTTGGTGTCTCTCTGCTAGACTTCCTGGATGCCAAAGACCACATTTTCATCCCATGTCCAATGTCCACTGCATGACATTCCTTACCCATAATTCCTCGCCAACCAAGAAGCTGTCAACGTAGTTCACAATGTTGGGATGCTTGTGTTCCCGCATGACAAGGATTTCATTGATAATCAGCTCCTGTGCATTGACAGATATAGTACAGCGGAACAGCACAGTCAGCATGTGGCGTTTCACACCTTTCTCACCTCTCCGCACGCTTTTTCTACTCGACTCTGCTAGTTCTTAGTTGTCCAGAATGTGACTCTCTCATCGTTTTCTAGGCTTCCTGGGCTAATACCGGGTTCTCTCTCTCCTTTCTCCCTTCTTCTTCCTCCTCCTTCTCCTCCTCCACTTTCTCTCCCTCTCTCCTTCTCCCCCCCCCCCCCCCCCCCCCCCCCGCCCACTCCCTCTTCCAGGCTCCACTACACTTTCACCAAAGACTTACCATGACATTATACAGTGTAGATAGGACATCACCCTGTCATACACTTCTTGTTAATGCACAATATAGAGATACGCTAGACTACCTACCGGCTTGGGTTGATTCTTGAGCACCATGGTCTTTATCGCAACCTGCATGCCGAGCACCAATGGAAACAGACGAGCAATTAGAATGCCAGCTCACATGCATGAAGATAGAAAGCACATTATATCTACACTGATAAACGCAATGGAATGTGTCCAGCTAGGATTCAAATTGCAAACTGACCTCCTTTCCAGTGGCGACGTCGTTTGCCTGGAAGACCTTCCCTGATGCACTGCAGGTAAACACAGTACACGTGGCTTGTCAAGTTAAGTTTTGTGTGCGATACGAAGCGGCTCTTTGTTAGCTCTTGGCTACATTGTTAAAGGGGAAGTTAAGGCAAAAATTAAAATTTCACCAGTTGTAGTCTTCGGGGTGCTGAGTCGAATGGTCTTGGTCCGAGAAAGCTGAGACGCTCCCTTCCTACTTGAATCCCAATCGAACTCGCTCACTTCCACCGAAACTGGGTGACTGCGCCCTACTAGATGGGGATTTGTATGCAAAATGTCACTAAAAGCGCCATTTCGTTCTTATAAAAGCACGGATGACCGCGATTGGCCCATATGTTGTAGTCTTTTGGACGCTGAGTCGACTGGTTTTGGTCCGAAAAGGCTGCGATGCAGCGTTCCTCCTTTATTCCCAATCGAACATGGTTGAACAAGCGGTCACGTGCTCCTGGGTGCCCAAATCACCTGGTCACCACGCCAGCAGGCGACAACTTTCACACCAAGGTTCAACTCGAGTGACAGGACTACACCCAAAAAAGGTCAAACAGGCTAGTAAGTTGTACCCTGCAGGCACGGTGACCAGGTGACTGGCGTACGCAGCAGCACGTGACCGCTTGTTCAACCATGTTCGATTGGGAATAAAGGAGGAACGCTGCATCGCAGCCTTTTCGGACCAAAACCAGTCGACTCAGCGTCCAAAAGACTACAACATATGGGCCAATCGCGGTTATCCGTGCTTTTATAAAAACGAAATGGCGCTTTTAGTGACATTTTGCATACAAATCCCCATCTAGTAGGGCGCAGTCACC